CAGCTGGTACAGTTGAGAGACAGACTGAACATCTTACATGGTAAGGGAGCTACTGTGTCCTAGCACAGTTTTTTCTCATAGACATTCTATCCTTCTGCCCAAGGTTTCACCAAGACTTTGGTCTGACCCAGGGTATCTGCCAGCTGATCACAGTCTGAGTTTACCTGATTTGGAGGCTGTGCAGGCATCTAAGTGACCCTTTCGTGCAGCCCCAGTTCAAGAGCAGATTGGAAATATTGATACTTCTGTGTCAGCCTCCGTGCTGCACCCAGCTTTAACGGTGGCCAACAGAAGTGGGACAGATGGCAGAAATTAAGTAGAGCTCTCTGCTGCACACCATATTGTCTGTCAGCAAAGCATCCATGGAGGGCTCCAAAAACACGTGAGCTGCCTGGAGACCGGCGGGGCTCCCGAAAAGCAGGGACTTCAGAATGATACGGGGGAGCCAAGGTCTCTGGGCTCTTCCTGCACCCGTTCTACTGCCTGCAGGGTGTGCGTGGACCAGAGTAGGTTCTTCAATCCAAACCCCCTTGCAGCTTTACGTGGGGGGAAATGAAAACTGGGCAAAGGACTGCAGCTTGAGCCAGAGCCACCCAGGACTGAGGAGGAGCTTGTTTCAATCCTTAGCAGTTAGATGGATGGTGTTTGCAGCCTGCTGTCCCGCTAGTGTGTCAGGAAGCTACATCCAGTGAGTCCGGACACTGAAATCCTTTTGTATTTAACCTGCCATTAGTCATCACAGGTTCAAATTTATCTTACAGCTGTGGTGCTCTAAGAAGGACTGATTTTTGTAATGACAGAAGCCCAGGGCTGTCAGCATGGAAGGGACCCAGGAACATCTGCCAGTCTGCAGTGATCTGTCATGCAGATATCGCAGTGAGCTCCACTGTGCTTAGGCAAGTGGTAAGTGAGGTCCCCATCGCCTCCCCAGCAATGCAGGGTCCTGGTCATGCATGCCCATAGAACCCTGGGATCTGGACGTGGCCCTGTACCATTATATGCATTGAGAGCAATCTCTTGTCTTTGAACAGGGGTTTGTGACCTCGTTGTCCTTTTAATAAATAATGGAAAAGCAACTTCAAAAGAGAAAGTTGGGTCTAGCTCCCCAGCAAGCAAACGATGCGTCTCCCAGCATCCTCCTTGGGCTGTTGCAAGTCCCTGGTAAACCCCTCTGTGTATGAAATTCAAAAGGAGAGAGCTGTCATTGGAGAAAATTATGGACAAAAGGACCACCATCCTGGGAGTGCAGCCTGATGGTATGCCTATTATCAGCTGCTAAGCAAAGTGTGTTTATTTTAGCACAAAGGCATTAGAGACTAAGCTTGAAATATTCTGAAATTGGTGCTGAAACGACCTCAGGGTCATGCTGAAGGCCCTACAGCTAAACAGATTAGACAGACGTGTTAGGGATGAGCAGTACATAAAAGCTCGGGATTCAAACCTCCTGTCAGGGAGAGGAACGAGAAATCTTGTAACAATGAGTGAAGATGGTAGGATTGAAATGCTGAAGAATTTTAATTGTCTGAATTTTTTCAGGTGAGGGGTTAGCTAAATTCTGGGTGAAGTGAAAGTGAAATATGGTCAGGAGCCAGCAGCTTAAGACATGTAGTAGAGCAATTGATCCTGAAAGTGACAAGCCACGCATTAATATTCCTGGATTTATCAAAGGGTATCGTCTCTCTAGTCATCATGATGCATTTTTAAAGTAGGCAGTGATCAATATATGATTATAAGCCATTTAAGTTCTCGATCCTTCTTTCCGGTGAAATTATGACAGCATCTTTGCTCAAGCGAAACCTGTGCCAGCCTCTGCAGGCACACAGTCAGAAGTATCGCTTTTGAGAGGGACTTGTTTAATTTAAGGCACTGTCCCACGGCAGGGACCTGGGCGCAGGGACAGAAGCCGCTGCTGCCCAGCTCTGCGCTGTGGGGCAGTCCCAGAGCTGTTGGTTTTACGGGTGTGGCCACAGCCAGAACATGCATTTCCTAGCTCCGCTGGAATGGTCCCCAGCACAGCCTGGGGAATTTTGAGTTTGCTTTCCCAGGTGTATGATGAGGAGATGCTTCCTCACCTCAAAGGGACGCTGGGAGAAGTCCATCCCGATGTGGACAGGGAGAGGCCGAGAGCAGCGGCGGAAGAAACTGGCTCTGTCTGTGTGCACTACTCCCGCTGCAGGGGCACCCGATTACTTGTGTTTTTGGCAAACTTACTTTTACCTTTCTGCCAGGGGCTTAAAGAAAGTCACGAAGAGGAGCTAAAAATAGTCAAAATGACCACCCCTTCCCTAAAAAAAAGTAATTAAATCACCCCCCTGCTTCTGTCAAAGTGCTCTTGGTGTTGGCACCTCTTCTTCATGGGCTCATATAATGCCAACAGCCAAATTATAAATCCTTTATAAAGGGGTTTATCCCTCTGCTGAATGAGCTTGCAGCAGAAGCCCAGACAGCGTACCGGCTGTGGCACCTTCTCTGAAGGTCTGCTGCCATCAATCTTGACCTGCTAATGTCATGGGGTTAAAAATATACCAGGTGCAGAATGGCTGGGAAACGCTTTTTTTTTTTTTGTCACAGTGGAAGAATGACATGGTGGCAGCGATCCAAACCTTATCCCTTCTGCTGGAATGGCTGCTGCTCTTGCGCTGGCCAGTGCCTTTGTCCAAAGAAGTGTCTGTGTCTCTTCCTTGCATGGCTCCATGTGTGTGTTTTTCCTCACCACTGCCAGCATGTCTTCAAGAAGAGACATTGCATACAGGTGGAAAGTCACTTGGGCACCTGCACGTTGCAGGAAATTGGAGCCCACACTACCGCATAATTTAAAATCAAAGTTAAATATTTTTTGTTTGTTTTTCATTTTTAGGAGTGCCAAATCCCAATGCTGCATTTAAATCAGCGGGAGATTTTCAGGGGTACCTCTTGCTGCATTAGGCTTTTTGCTAACTCGCTTAGGACCACCATTGACAAGAGTGCTGCAAATCCTAGGTATCCCTGTGCCTCTCCTCCTCCTCCTCAGAAACTGGGACTCTGCAACTTCTGGCGAGCATGCTGGGCTTACCTGTGGATGGGCAGGCACACAGGAGGGGTTATCATATAAGTGTGGACCCTGAATTATGGGCCACAAAGCTAACACGTCGAAAATTTGATACTTTTTATTTTGGGCTCTGGGTCCTGTTTTGGTGTTGGCAACCTTGGTAAAGCATCAGGGTGAGTGAGAGAAATCAGAACGGGATGCTTTTGGGCTTGTCGGGTTTTCCTCTGCGTCCCATCCGACAGCTGAGTTGGTGGAAGGATGGGCAGGCACCCAGGGACATCTCTGACCTCTGGCTAACACAAGTGTCCCCAGTGGGGACTGGAGGAGACCGGGGGATGATGACTGTGTCGGGGCGTCGTGCTTCTGGCTCCCATGCCGCCTGGCAAATGCTTATCTGAGCAGTGCCTGGAGCTTAACCACAAGGCTGCTGCGCGTGCAAACTGGGGCTCGTTCCTCCAGAAAGATGCTGCCGTGTCCTCCACCTACCTTGCTGGCTGAAACCTGGGCAGGACACTAAGGGCTGCTGGTGAAATGTTGGTCTGGCTGAACTCACTGGCAAAACTTCAGAGCTTCACTGGAGTATCTCCATTTCCCGAGGAGCAGCAGGCGTCGTTTCCCAGCCTCAGAGTGCCCTCTGGCGTACGCGGGAGACAGTAAAGACTCTGGTTTATTGAAGTAGTTTTATTTGGCTTCCTCCATTTCTTAAAGCTTCGCAGCTAGCACGGTTATTCGTCGAAGGTAGCCAGGCACAAAACACCAAGACGTGGCCTCCAGACTAGTCCCATGTGTCATCCACATTTATACACCTAGCAGCCAACAATCATTTTTTTTAAACAATACTTGCCACGTGCAGCGTATCGAGCAGGAGGCTTCTGGGCCCCAGTGTCTCAGTTCTGATCTCCTTCCAGCGATGTCTGGCAGGTCCCTGAAACCAGCCTGCAGCAGGTCCTGCTCCAGCTGTGCCTGGGCAGTGCTCTTCCCCTGCCCCAGGGGCTGGCTCCGGGCACATGCTTGGGGCTCCTTGACTAAGCAGCACAGGCAGAGCTGCTCCAGTGCTAGACTGCATTTCAAACCCCTGGTTGCAGAGGGAAACCAGGCTGCAAAGAGGTAGGAAAAGCTTTTAATAAACAAAGAAAACCTGGCCCTTTTCTCCAGGAGGAAGGCAGGGCGTTCAGAAGTGGTGGCAGCGTAAGCATGCATTGCTGTAGTTAGGTGGAACTGAAAACAGACAGTGAATGTGAGGCAGAAACACAAAAGCTGCAGTAAATATAAATCTTCCCCATATGTAGAGTCCTTTCTTGGAAAAACTTTGTCATCTTGTATCTGTTAAAACATTCTGGTTTGAAAAAAAATAAAATTATTTTCTAAATGGTTTCAAACCTTTGTTGGCAGCTGCAGTAGTGAATGTGCTGGTAGGGAGCAGAGAAGCGAGTTGAGCGCTCTGGTGTTGCACTCTGCTGAGGGCAGATGGGGTGGTCAGGTATTGCAGTGGCTTGTCTGGCAGCTGCTCATTGAAGGCACCATCTAGCAGAACAGGACGAGTGTGACATTTTTTTGAGGAACAATGACAAGTATGGATCACTATCTGCATGCCCTTTCTTCTTTCCTCCTTGCTCCTCTCCTGGAGTGTTTTCCAGCACGAGTCAGAGTACCCTCACTCACTCTTGTCAGGTTATTTCATGTTGCAATCTGCCCGGAGGTGGGCCAGGCTTGCAAAGCTACCTCTTCCAGCCCAGAGGTGGAACTGTTGTCCAGATCCAGCAATTGGCATTCATCAGTGACAACCAGTGGAAGAGGAGATGGGTTTAGTTTGGCTGCAGGCTGGGAAGACTCGTGCTGGGTTTGAGTGCTCTTCTCCAGCTGTGCGGTGGCTGTGCTTGGATGTCCTCGTTGTTGTTCACTTCTCAGCAGCCAGTTTTTGCTCACATTTTCTCCCTGCTGACCTTTCTCTTCTCTCTGTTTTTTTCCTCAGGTCGAAAGCTGAGAGGAAAAGCCTTTTATTTTGTCAATGGCAAGGTGTTCTGTGAAGAAGATTTCCTGGTAAGCATGCAGCTGACCCTTGTGCTGGCACGTCCCAGCCTCCCCAGCAGACACACAGCCTTTCTGCCCATCAGCTTTGCCTATGTTTCACAGCTCTAGTCTAACACCCTGCCTGGTCCTTCTGCTCCACCATTTACCCAGGGCCAGCCCCAACCACGGTGGCTGCCCGCATGTGGTGCTGGAAGTAGCCAAATGAGAGGCCACGGTTTTGCGATGCAGAGCCCCTAGTCAAAGCCACAGTCTCTTGTGATGTCTTCTTCAAAGTGTGTCTCTATGGCCACGCTGTGGAGGCAGGAGTGAGATGAATGACTACAGAAGAATGAATGAGTGAATTTCCCTTTCCGGTGAACTGGGGTTGCTTGGGCATCTTAATAGATATCTTTCTGTTGCCCTCAATGGATTTTGTGGGAATGTACCTGAGCATGAAGCAGCTCTACGGTCCTTTCCTGTCTGGTGGAGATAAAAAGCCATATACCTTTCTGTCCCTGAGTCCTGATAGACTAAGCCTTCGTTGAGACTTCAAAAAGTTGTATTTGCCTACTTATTGGGGAAGTCTAGTGATTTCTGTCAGAGAGAAGTAAGTTAATCTTCTTTGCTTTCATCAGTATATTCTACACAGGCTAAAAGTGGAAAGATTGGTTAAATGCACCTAAAATATTTAATTTTTCCAGATGCATTTCTACCATCCAGACAGGACTGAAACCTTAGACAGATGATGTGTTGAGGCTGAGCTGCATGTCGTGGGCTTGACAAGCAGTTCCTCACCATTACTTCTCAGCAATCGCAGCAAAAAAGTTGCTCTGAGCCAGACTTGATTGTTGCCCTAACAGGGAGCTGGGACAATACCACTGACCTCAGAGAAGCTTCAATAGACCTATAACGGTGTAACCAAAGGAAGAATTTGGCTTTCCAAGCCTATATATACAGATATTGTGATATGAATATGTAATAAACACAAGTAAGTTACCAGCTTGTAGATTTACATGGTTAAATAAGCCTGTAAGCCTTATTAGTAAATGCCTTATTTGCATGTGCATTTATGGTATTTACTTGTATACTTAATTAAACTTAAATTTAGGACTTGTAAGTTACAGGAACTCATACTCCTTCTGAACACTGGAAGTCTGGTGTCTTTATAGAATCATCCCCATCCATAACTTCATATACTGAAAAAAGCACTGAAAGTTCAGCTTATGTAAGGAGCACAGAAAAAAGCCGCACAAATAATACCCCACAATATGCTGTTGTTTATGCTTGACTAGCCTTGTGAAATTTTAAGCCAATTCTTTTTTGTCCTTGCAGTATTCGGGTTTCCAGCAGTCAGCTGACAGGTGTTTCATTTGTGGTCATTTGATAATGGACATGGTAAGTGATAATTGCTTTAGGAGAAACAAGTCCCACAGCTTTTTAGAAGAATGCATCAAAAGCAAAATATATTCATATCCAGTACTGTCTGTTATCATCTGTTAGTCTGCCTAGTGTGAGATTGGTAGCAGAAAGAAAATCCACTAAGCCTTTTGTTGATTTTTTTGTGAGGAAGTGAAGCTGGCACCCTGCTGTGTGTGGTACAGGGACTTTGCTCTGCATGTTTTCAGTGCACATTGCAAAGCAGAGCCTTCAGCCCTTTCATGCCCTTTCGGGCTTCCCTGGGCAGTGTATTCATAATCCTATTGATGCTTCCTGCTCAGAATCACAGAATAGTTTGGGTTGGAAGG